GGAAAAGAAAAGTGAAAGAGAGGTGGCACTTGCCTTGAAGAGGCAGGCTAGACATGACGTCGGTAGACGAGGAGGGGAGGAGAGTGTGTACATAGGACAAGAACTCATGGGTGCTTGCTCGTGTTGGAGACGTAGACGAGGTGGCACACACAGCTAGACCGTTTTTCTTCCAGCATCTCCAGCTATGAATTTTCGATTTCTTTTTTATTCCTGCCAACAATCATTGTCTTACGTGTCTGTTGGTGTATCTGAAGCAAGCGATTTGAACCATTTCCCCAAAAGTGTCAAGGACGAGTATGATTAGAAAACAAGCCCTCATGGTAGTCAACGCTCTCAAATTGAAAATGGGGAAACTCATGATTCAACGCCATTCGTCACCCGACTTTTCTTCTTCTTCCTTCTCTTCGAGGTGGGAGGATCCTTTTGCCCTCGTTCCAGTGCCATGCTATGATTTCCCAACCCTGGCTTTCCGACCGACCAACCAACGCCCATACTCCGATCAGACATTCTGTACGCTCGACATGTTCACTTTCCGCATCGCGACGCATCACACGCGGCTGATGCTTCACGCGCCCCACAGACCCCCAGCCCCCGTACTGGCAACCGGCACCGCCTGGACCGTCTCCTCCATCCTGTCGTCTCCGTCCCTCGATGGCGGCCTGGAGATCTCCTGCAGCCTGTGGGGAGACCGCACGGTCCTAGGCTGCTCCTCTCTAATGTTCTGCAGCGGATGGCTGCCTGACGGGGAGATCAGTTCTGGGCTTGGCGCCTTGGGCGTCGCGAATCGCCGGCCGTCAAAGTCGGGAAAGAGGTCGTCGTCGTCGCTTTCGCTGCGCCTGACGACAGGACTCGAGGGCGACCAGAGACCCGTCGACACGGGCTGGCTAAAGGTTGTGGCGCCGCTGCCGACAGTGATACCGGTCGTGTTAAGCGCGATGCCTCGAGGCATGGGCGACGTTGTGTAAGATGTGCGCCGCATGCTCGCAAGGTTGGCGTTGGCCGAATTGCTCCTGGAACCGCCGAGATCAAAGTCGTGAAATCCCAATCCCGTCGCGGATGACATGGTCGAAACGCGGCCTCTGGCCTGAGGATGTGGCGTGTGAACATGGGCCGAAGAGGTGGATGCTGCGCGCGAGAGGCCACCGCCAGTAGAGGACATATTACGCAGATGGTCGTTGCTCGCTTGGATCTTCAGGTCATAGTACTGATCAATCGGGATCTTGCCCGGCACCATCGGCGCGCTGGGATCGCCGAATGGAACAATAGGGGCGTCGCCGTCGACGTTGTCCTTTCGCGCAGCCATTGTCACAGTGGCCACGCCGACATCCATGAGAACCGGCTGGCGCGTGATGGCGCCGATCATGGCATTACAGCCTGCGCCGTGTGAGACGAGGATGACCACAGCCTCTGCGTCATCGTCGGCATCGTCAAAGACAGGCGCATGGGGTGTCGTGGTTACGCCGAGTTGTACGGTCTTAGTCACGAGCTCGGCCGGGCTCTCGGCCGTCGCATACCAGTCTACGAGCTTCTGAAACCCAGCCCTGAACCGCCGGTGCATGGAGATCCATTCCTCGCCAAATACACCACCGTCACCCCAGTTCAGAGGCTCTTGCATCGAGTCCCACTGATAATCAGCGACGGCGCAGGCATCTCGGGCGTGCGCGACGTAGCCGTCGGGGATCTTTCCGCTGGTGGATATGGCATAATTGGGCGTCGGCGCTACATATCCGTCATCGGGACTGGTAGACCGTCTGTTACTCGAGGCGCTGTTCGCGCTGCCGGCGCGATTCCTCGGCAGGGCGCTGGCCATGGCGGGCAGGCCATCGAGACCCAAGGGCGAATTGGAGTCTACCGAGCTCGCCCGGTCGTTCGCAGCTGACATTTTGGGGCTGCTCCAGAGCTGGCCATGAGACTGTGAGGCCATGGAGCTTGCATGGGGACGAGAGCTCTCGTAGGCGCTGATGGTCTCATGTTGGAGGAGCGCGACCTTGGCGGTGCCGAGCATGTGTTGCGAGCTCGGCGGGCGAGCAATGGCTTCAAAGTATTCGGGGTTCAGCCATTCTCCGAGGAAGGCATCGACTCGGATGGGGGTCTTTTGGATGACGCCCGACAGTGGCTGCACGCTGGGGTCGGCCGACAGCGGATTGACCTTCTCAGGGGCTGTGCTGGAGAGATGATAGGGTGTTGTGGCTGAGGCTTGGGGTGCGGCATGGGCCAGTCCGGCGCTGATGGCGACGGATGTTTGTATGCATCGTAGAAAGGGCGAGCTGTGGATAACAATCTTGAACTTCCTCTTCTTGCTCGGAGCTGTCGGAGAGTCGGTGCTGGCGTCTTCTTGCGCCTGCCGGAGGATGGCGGCGATCCTGGCACCGGCAGCCTGCGCCTGCAGCCAGCCGCCGTAGGTCAGAGGAGGATCGTAGGGTGTCGGCGAGGACAGATGCCACTTCTTGTCAGCCTGGTCGAGTCGAGCTCCGTGTCTGCGCGGGCGCGAGGCCAAGTCAGCTCAAACGTCATTCGAGGTGGGAGACCAGTACGAAGGTGAGGGGTTGTTGGAGAAGGCATGCACTCGGAAGGGACACCAACCTGACGACAAAGATATATGCGGGTGGGCGTCCCATGATGGACGGCTGGGAGGGAGACGACGCGCTCTGCGACGACGGAGGAGCAGTGAAGGCGAAACAGGAAAGGAGTTCGGGTTTATGGGAGCTCGACAGGTCGAAATATGTTCGCGTGGTATGAAGCCAAGGTGACCCGAGACACAAGGGTCGATCGATCGGCGAGGCGAGACAGCAAATGGAAGACAGTTTAGTTTGAAAGTAAGGTAAAGTTGCTCAGGAAGGTTTGCGGGCACAACTTTGCTTTGGCGGGGACAGTTGCCGCTGGATGGTGTTTCGGTTTGTCAGACGATCAAGAAGCGAGGGAGGAAAGAACATGGGAATGGAAAGTGCGAGGTACGTTGCGGAAGGCGAAACGGAGTTTACGGTTTCGTCGCACAAAGCCAGGCAGAGAGGCAAGGCAAGTGTCACGGGTGTTGCGTGTGTTTGGACCCTTGCCCAGGATTAGGACCGCTGGAGGAGAGAGGCTCGTGGAAGGTGGGATGGAAGGCCAAGCAGGAGGAAGGATGCCGGAACTGGCTCACTTTCCCGTGTCTATAGTTCTGCCTTTTTCGGGGTCAGGATAGATGATCTCCCGAACAACGGACACTAGGCTCACATCAGGCGAGGCCGTGTGATCACGATGTCTTTTTCGTTCCTCTTGCCTGGCGCTTGGGTGGCCCTTGTCCGCTGGGGCTGCCGAGGGACATGACTCTGAAAGGTACCTAGGTGGGTGACAGACAGATCGAAAGCATGGTGCGGGGCCTTGATGATGCACGACAGGCACCGAACGCAAACTCAGGTGAGGGGCATCCCTGCAGCCAGCCTGCCAACAGCTGGGTGGCGCTGGGAGCGAGGCCCGAGACTGGCTGAGGCAGGCTGCTACAGGTTCCTAGTCGGGGGGCCGTGGTGGACATTCTTTAGCACTAGACGCGCCTAACACCAAAGGCCTCGAGGGGGACCCGAGAACGCCGGTGGAACAATCTCCAGGGGACTACATGTACTACACCAATGATGCATGGTGCCCTGCATGTGATTCTTCTCAGGATGGGCGGGCACTCTGCATATCAGATCTGTCTGCTTGTTGTTCTTGCTTCTCTCGACCCACGTCGTTCGACTGTCGACTCACCCACACCTCCATCTCACTGCAACGCGCCTTGATGCGACAGCCCAGGCACTCGCACAGTCGAGACGTCATGGCTGTATGCACGTACCTGTAAAGGCCGCGCGCATGCTGCCGCCTGAGCGGACGCTTTTCGGTACTCCGGCGCGTGTTGCGCCTCCTCAACCTGGAAGGCTGACCTGCCAGGCGCATTGCCAAAACCAGAGCCCCCAAGTCCCAGCCCACTACCCTTGGCGGTCTGCTTAGGCATCTAGGTAGGTAGAGATTCATTGACAAGCGGTCAAACTCTGCCGCTAGAATAAAGAGGGTCCTGGAGAATGGCGACATCGAAGAAAAAAAAAACAGAGGCGACCCCCACCAGTCAGGCGGCCAACTCGGCTTTCACGATGTTGGGTTAGACCCGGCAACCGGATGGGCGAGCCATGCGTCTCCAAAGTCGATGAGTCAGGCGGACAAAGAGCATGGTAATTCCGACAAGCGACAAATCTGGAGCGGCTCGGCATCGTGACTGCAATTTCTCGGTCGGCTGCTTGGTGGTTATGCATGCGTCCCCGAGATCGGACAGTATGAATGTATGCAGTCTCTCTCCCCCCCCGGCAGCGCAGTGGCCCAGTGCTTCAGACACCCCTTTGTTGGCTTTCACTAGAGGGCTGGCCGATGATTGATCTCCAGCACTTTGGGTGCCATTGTTCATCAAAGTCGGGGAGTGCGGCAAATATGGCCTGGCTTGGAGGGAAAGCTTCTGTGGTCCAACCCCAGTTTCTCTTCCCTCAATTGTTTGCCTCGTTCCCTCTGCACGCTCATCATCTCTGTGGGTTCAACCTTGGCCTTGATTGATCAGCGGATGCAGATGCGCTGATGCCTGAACGGGCGGCAAGAGGGTCCATGCTGGCGACGCAACCGCCACGGAAGTCCGTTGCGGATTTGACAGGCGGCTTCTCATTTCATGTCAGACACCAGACGAGACGAGGCGAGACATGAACAGAGACGACAGAAACAGACCAGACGCCAGAGTCAAACCAAATACCATGTAAACGCCTGCGGAGAATAAAATGGTCCGTGCGCTCACCTCTAGATCCGTGCCGCTTCTTAGCGTCGTCCAGATCCCTGGATTGGTAAGGCGACCCGTAGTGGACAGCCAGGCAGGGGCAAACGCCGCCGCGGTCCATCCCATCTCCAACCTCACCCCATCGCCGAGTCGCGTTCGAGTCGTCGTTCTCATATCTTCGTCCCTGTCCCTATTCATCCTCTGAACTACCTGCTGAGCTCAACCGACCGTCGCCATGCTGCTGTCGAATGTCCTCCAGCTACCCGTCCTGTTGGCTGCCGCTGCGCTGGCACCAGCAGCTCTTGCCGAGCATACCAGCAACTGGGCCGTTCTCGTCGGTACCTCGCGGTTCTGGTTTAACTATCGCCACATGTCCAATGTCTTGTCCATCTACCGCACCGTCAAGCGACTAGGCATTCCCGACTCCCAGATCATCCTCATGCTGCCCGACGACATGGCCTGCAACCCCCGCAACGCCTTCCCCGGAACTGTCTACAGCAACTCGGACCGCGCCGTCGATCTGTACGGCGACAACATCGAGGTCGACTACCGAGGCTATGAAGTCACCGTCGAGAACTTTATTCGACTCATGACCGATCGTGTGGGCGCCGAGATGCCTCGCAGCAAGCGTCTCTTGACCGATGAGCGGAGCAACATTCTGGTGTACATGACAGGCCACGGCGGAAATGAGTTCCTGAAGTTTCAGGATGCCGAGGAGATTGGCGCGTTCGACCTGGCAGACGCTTTTGAGCAAATGTGGGAGAAGAAGAGGTATGCTAAGCCGTGGACCGGTGCTGAACGACACAAAGACTAACCCGAGACCGCAGATACAACGAGATCCTCTTCATGATCGACACGTGCCAGGCCAACACCATGTACAGCAAGCTCTACTCCCCGAACATCATCGCCACCGGCTCCTCCAAGCTTGACCAGTCATCCTATTCCCACCACGCCGACCAGGACGTTGGCGTTGCCGTCATCGACCGCTTCACCTACTACAACCTCGAGTTCCTCGAGAACCAGGTCAAGGATATGAGCAGTCAGAAGACCATTGGCGAGCTCTTCGACAGCTACGACTTTGAGAAGATACACTCCCATCCGGGCGTGCGCTACGACCTCTTCAAGGGCGGTGCCGACGAGGCGCGCAGCCGTCGCATCACTGACTTCTTCGGCAACGTTCAGCAGGTCGAGGTTGACGGAGCTAAGAGCCTGGCACTCGAGGAGGAACTTCTCGAGCTGAGCCGCAAGATTGCTGCGCTGAGGGTCCAGGCGGATGAGCAGGATGCAGCTGCGCGGAACGCGACGGCCCCGGCGGCGGCTGTACCTGTGACCGCAACCAAGAAGATTCAGTTTGCTCAGCCGTTGACCAACGACAACTGGTGGGCCAAGAAGATCATCGGAGCCACCGCCTTGGCGGCATGTGTCGGGCTCTGGGTTCTGGGGTCCTATCTAGAGCCGTCCAGGAGTGAGAACGCAGAGGACCCAGTGGAGGCTGAGAAGAAGGAGGCGCAAAACGGATCAGTTAAGGTGAAGGCATAGGCATGGGTGCGACATTGGAATCTGACCGTTTTTAGTATATCTACGAAGAGCAATGAAAGGGGGCATGGCGTTTAGGAAAGGGGCAAAGGAAAGAGGGCCTTATGTCCCTACCACCGGGTTTAGCCGGTGTTTCTCCGGCTGACCTCAATTCACACGATCCTCACTTGGTAGCTGGTGTTTGAAAGCATAATCACTTGAGACTATCTCTCTCAACCACAAATATTCGTCATGACAAAATATGCGCCTTGCCGACGCCCGTCGTATCTGTCTTGGGTATAGCATTCTTGGTGATCAATCACTATTTCCCTTATGGAGGGACGTCACCAAATAATTTTTGCGCCATGGATAACATTAAGGTGAGACCGCGTCTGCTTTTCATCTCTACTTTGAGCTTGCGCAGCGTGATATGTCTGCAATTTCACATTACAGAATCAGCCAAATCGTTAAAGCTGGGACCTCAGGCTACTCTGCACCAGTTGCTATAAGGAGTCTTGTACTTGACCTTCTTGGGTGGGGCAGCGCCCTAAGAGGCTGCGAGATGGATTCCTCACTGCTTCTATGCTCTGAACGCTTGAACCAGGCCAGACGCATTTGCTCCTTCCACGGCGCACATGTTCGAAAGAAACATTGCCGAATTAATCGAGAGTTCGCAACTGAAATTAGCCTGTGGGCCACGCTGGATACATTAGATTGTCCGTACCATGGCTGCCTCCCTTGAAGCGTTCAGGGCATGTCAGGCATTGAAGAGGCTGTCTTTGGGACTGCAGCACTCAAGAAGATGGAAACATTTTTGTTACCAAAGTCAACAACCTGAGATGCCAAAGGCTAACGATGGACGACGCCCACTAGGTGCCCCAGCTGAACACCATCACCCTGCGGTCCCGTCCGCTGACGACGCACGCCATCACCATCTCCTGCGATGCCGAACTCGCTGTGGCCGCCGATGATTCGGTGCACATAATGCTCCCCGAGTTCCCGACCCCGGAAGACGACACCCGCCGCGGGAACCGTGATGTCGGCGCCGACGAGAACAAGCGCATCCAGTACCACACTCACCGCGGCCAGTACATGACCATCAAGCGCCCTGATCCGCGTATGAACGCCAAGCTATTCGACGCTGCCGGTTTGAGGTGCCCGGGCAACGACATGGAAGAGGAGCCCTACTTTGGCGTGGGTTCCGGACTGCCAACCGGATGGGGCAGCTCCCTGAACCAGGTGTCTGTCATGGAATGGTCTCCTACCGGCGTTGGCTACAACTTGCGCCCCGTCCTTTCTGTTCTGCTCACCAATGGATCTGTCATGATCTATGGCCAAGAGGGCTCTGCCGTCACCGACATTAGTGTTCGCAAGCGGAGCTTCGATGCCTGGAGGGTTCTCTGGGGCATCGGCGGCGTCCTACCCCTCCCGGATCGCAAGGCCAAAGACGGCAGCCACTTGGCAGGGGACAAGATCAAGTCCTTCTCCTGGGCTCACAAGATCGCCCCTGGCCGCGCCCTCATTGCATATCTCAACGACCGGGACGAAATCGTCATCGTCACTGTGGAATTCTTCGAGAATCCCAAGATCAAGAAGGGGCCTACCTTGGCTTGGAGGGTAGAGGAGGCTGCTCGCTTCCCGAATGACAGCCCCCATCCCAAGATGAGTGTGAGGACAAGATGCAATAGGATGTTGCGACCTTAACTGACGAGGTGGCAGATCATGGACCCTGACTTTGTCCCCTCTGGCTCGGCGTTTTCCATCAAATGGAGTCCTTGGGCTCTCATCGGCGATAAACGCGTCGCTGTCATCGCTCGAATCAGCCGGAGCTACCTTGGTTTCCGCAAAGTCACCATTCCTGCCGACTGGATCCGTGGTGAGAGGACTGTCGTTACTGTCGACGAGACGGATTTGCTAGGCATATGCACCAATCTAATGACCGATGCTTTCGTTGAGTGGGAGAACGGCGTCTGGACAGACGGCGACGACAAAATCTGCCGCGGCGTTGTCGCTTCACCTTTCGATGCAAAACCATTCCAAGTCATCCTCAACTCCCCCGCAGCTCCTGCGCAACAGCAGCACTCACTCACCACTTGCAACACTCTTTACCCAGAGGAATCTCCAAACGAGGGAAACCCTGCCACCGGTATGTTTGGTCAAGTCATCACCGCCTCAAACCCGAGCTGACATTGCTAGGGATCATTATCCACCCACCCAACACTATGGACAGAACCCCAGCCCCCGTTTTCTCGCTCGTCCGCCTCGTCGCGTCCGCGACCAACGACAACTGGTACCAAACTACTGCACCCGCGCCCTCCGATTCAGCCCTCGAAGACCAAGTGACCGTGCCCCAATGGGCCAGCACTATCGACGACATCATCTCCCTCTCTGTTCCCGTCGCCATGGCCACGCAAAACGCCGACTCAGACAGCGAGGTTGGGGGCCCTGAGTCGGACTCGGACGACGACTTTGAGATGCCCACCGACGCCGGCGAGCAGGTCAACCCCTGGCGTATCCGAATCTGGGGCCTCGCAGCCTCCCCCGGTGGCGGCATGCATGCCGCCATGGTCTCCCAGCAGAGCGCCCTCGGGCCCGAGCCAAAGGTCAAGTCCAAGATCTTCTGGGGCTTCAAGCCGCGCCTGGCCGCGGTTGTCGAGCCCGCCAGCGAGGGCCAGGACGAGCCCTCCGGCGCGGCACAGATGACAACCGAGGGCAAGATGTGGGAGTGGATGTACGGTGGCGGCCCGCCCGTGCGCGGCGCCGTGGGCTGGGAGGCCGAGTACAGGCCCAAGGGCGACGAGGCGCTGCGCGAGCAGCTGAGGAGCGTGCTCGAAGCGCAGGTCTGCGGGTTCTGCAAGGCCGGCCTGAGGGATGCTGGCCGGTACACTGTGTGCGACAACGGCCATACGTTTGGTAAGAATCGCTCCCTTGTATCATGCCCTCGTGATGATCCTGAGAAAGGAGGACGTGCTAATGATGAAGTCAAGCTACCTGCACAGCTAGCGGTCTAGCCATCCTTGCCCCTGGTATTTCTCATGCGTGCGGTGTCTGCGGCCGTCGCTGCCTTGCTGCTCGACAAATTGCCAGGATTGCAGAGACGCACGGTGTCGAGGCCGTGGTAGATCCATCTGCCGTGGAGTTGTGTGGAGGATGCGGCGGCAAGTTTATTGCGTAGGAGATCAGGGATTCCGGGTCCCGGCTGGCGTTCAGGAAAAGGCCGTGTGTAGGCGGTATGGGGGGGTTGTGGTCTCCATGTTTGCTATACTCCCAAGGGATCAGATAACGCAGCCGAGCGAGCAGGTAGAGCACAGATGTGCTGTGTGGCACACGGCCAAGTCAGGATAGAAACCTGTCAACCAACAGATCAAGTTATGTACGTTGTTCCAAACGATGCGGACTCGTACTCTCGACTTCTTCAGCATCTCCGTGGCAAGCTGGAGCGCTACCTGATGCCTGCCTACCAACCATCAACTTCAATGTTGGGGGTCTATTTTCTTTGTCAATCCATGCTGCCTTTTGCACGGGATCTCTTCCTTTTTAGAGGTAGAAACATCTGGACTTGGGCCGCAGGTTGACGACTGTCTACCGTGTTGCAGAGAGTCACTCCAAGGCGCACTATTCCTACCCACCTAAGGTACCTACCTAAGGTAACTAGGTACCTAGGTACCTACCTAGGCAGGCATCGTCAACAGACCTACATCGCTGTAGGCAGAATGCAGATAGCAGCAATGAACGCTGTGCATCAATCGGCACAGCGGCTAAGTGAGGGCCAACCCCACATGACCAGGATCACAGGCCCAAGGCACCAATGGGACGAAGCCGTCGCGGTCGGTGTTTTCAGGGACCCTGAAGAAGTCGCGACTTGGGAATGTTTACTCTGGTCCCAGATCGGAACGTCAACATCGAGCATTTGTTGCTAGCACAACACGTACCCTACGCCCTACGCCCTCCTCCTTCATCCCACCATCCCACCTCCTTAACGCCCTCCGACCTCATATGTGAGCACGACACCCGCCATCGTGGCATCCGCTCTCTTTCCCCTCTCCTTCGTACGGTCCTTTGCGTCCACCGCAAGGCGCCACCTGTTCCCCCCTTTTGCCATTGTACATCGCTGTCAACCCATTGCTCGCCCCTCCTTGTCAGTACACCACTTGCGTCACGACGCCTTGCGCGCCAGGTCTACACCACTGTACAAGATGGATTTCTCGGACGAGTCAATGTTCAGCGCGCAGGAGGAGTCTGATGCCTTTTCTCCCGAACCTGTAAGTGCCTCCGCTCCATTTTCTCTGGGCCAACGTCCCCTTCATTCGCATTTTGGTTCGCGATCCATGGCGAAAGGATCAATGCGTGGACCACCATCACGAAGACTCTGTGCCTGCCTTGCCACTACAATCGCATCTGTTCCTTCCCTTTCGCGCGCCTACCTTTCCAGCTGCGATTATACCTACTCCACGTCCTCTTCGTCTTGTCGGACAAGGCTCTCTCGAATCCACCAACTGCCTAGCAACAACCCCTCCTCCAGCTGCCGAGATGTCTATGCTACCGCCCCCTCGTCCAATCCCCCCTCGCTCATCACTTCCGAACCCACCAACTTCTAGTCCTACAGCTTCTAGTTATACAGCTAACCCTCCCCAGAAGCCCAAGGCAGCCAAGGCTCCGGCGAAGAAGGCCCCGGCGGCCAAGAAGCCTGCAGCCAAAAAACTGACCCAGACGACCCTCAAGACGGCCGCAGCACCGAAGAAACGCCCAGTGTCATTCAGCGACGATGAAGCCTCCGGGCTCTCCAACACCCCTCCCAGCTCTAAGAAGTTGAAGAAGGCCCCGGCTGCCAGCAAGTCGAGCGGCAACCCGCTTGCCGAGATTGAAAACGACAGCATGGCGCTCGATGAGCCCAGCGCTCGCGCGCCTGTGGCCAAGGGCACAAAGAAGACGGTAGAAGAGACGTACCAGAAGCTCACCCAACTCGAGCACATCGTCAAGCGTCCCGATACCTACATCGGCTCCGTTGAGCGCACCGAAATGCC